AAATATCAAACTAAACATCTAAAAAAAAACAGAATTTGGACACGTTTTGTGTGAACTTGAATATTGGTATCTTACTGAAGAAGGTGAAAGATAAACTTAAGCGGACAAAGGAGGAGTCGACAATGGAAGAACGAGAAAGAGGCAGGGGGACAAAGATAAGGGGGGGGGAGAGATGAGAGGATGTCGGAGAGAGAGAGAGAGAGAGAGAGAGAAAGAGAGAGAGAGAGGGACGAGGGGGCAGAGATGGAGAGAGATGAGGGAAGTGTAGAAAGAGATGGACAGAAAAAGAGTAGGGAGATAGAGAGCGAGAGAGATGAAAGAGTTATGACGAAGAGAAAAATAAATAGCGAGAGAGAGAGAGAGAGAGAGAGAGAAAGAGAGAGAGAGAAGAAGAGGGAAGTCCTGTGGAAAAGGTATGGTTGAAACAAGTGATTCATAATTGATACCACTTCACATTTTGAACACAGCAAAAGATTCCGAGCAGTTACAGATATTTAACAAAAATATATATGTATTTTGCAATTTTCTGTTGAATATAAGGGCTGCCGGAAATCAGCATACAGAGCGTGAACATACACATACATGTACACACGACACCCATCGACAAAACAATTTCAGTACATTATCCTTATCAGTACAGTAATATAATTATGTCAATTATTGCCAATGAATTTATGCCAATGATTTGTTGACAATGATTTTTTATTTCTTTAACGGTCCCTTCTGGGGCATGGAAGAAATACAGTTGAATAGTACAAATATAATGTTCAACAATGATATTCATATCGTTTAAAAAAACACGATGAAAATATTAAAAAACAAGAAAATCTTTGGCAGCGAACAACAAACAAAATACATAATACCCTATAATTATCTCAACTGGCAGTACTAACACTATTGTATGAACAATTCGATACTAAAAACGACAACAACCCATTTAACCAAAAGTCTAACGTATTAAAAAGGACAAAGCAAATTATCCAAACTTATAGACATAATAATCTTACAAAATTTGGAAAGGTTCTTTAACTGCTTAACAGAATTTGCACTGAATGACTGATGAAATTTGATAATGTTAGGCCTACTGTAATGATATTTCTTAACAAACTGCTACAGCTGGGCACAACAAAACATTATGAAATTCATCACCATGTACCTTAATATTACAAGGGGAACATAACTCAAGAGGTTGATCAGATAAATAACGACATTTGGTAACTGGCAGCTTATTATTACCACACCGAAACTTACAAAGAGATATCCTATCACATACGTCCTATTTCAACAAAATAGCTCTCCAAACCACCTTCCTGTTTAAAAAGCCTATAATTAGAGCATAATATATTTCTATAAACTTCATTATTCCAATTTTGCAAATCAATATCATTTAATCTAAGGTCCAAAGATGATTTTTCCCAACCTTGGTTTAAGGGGGTATCCTCAACCCACAAGTTTGACATTCCACTCTTGTCTAGGATACTTTTAACTTTCACAATCCACTTTGATTCGAAATCACAACTTTCATGTAGCTATAATACAGTCTAGGCTTTCCGCGAGCGGTTTCATTGGAATTAATCGAGAACTTCCCCTCGCTAGCTTGGAAAATAACCCCCCCCCCCCCCCGTTGGACACTATCATAAGGTGACGAATTGTTGCAGTCGTGAGCGAGACAAATTTGTAAAAAGAAATGACAAAAATACTGAAACATTATTTACATTTATATATGTTTTAAATCGTCAAGCGGTTGTTATTCTTAAAATAATTTATAAAAATCATATTGGCATTTCTATCGGGTAAACAAGCGTTATAGATTTTAAAACAAGTAAAAAAAATTGTGTTGGTGGAATTTTGAGGAAAAACATAAAAGGGAATTAGATACAGCAGGGGAAGAAAGAAGTGAAGAAGATGAGAAGGTAAACAGAGGGCAGAGGAAATATAAGAGAAGAGCTCAAAAGCGAGAGGAGGAGAAGAAGAGGAGGAAGAAGAGGGAGAGGGAGAAGAAGGAGAAGAAGAAAGAGAAAAAAAGGAGAAGAAGAGGGAGAATTGAGAAGAAGTGAAGAAAAAGAAGAAGAAGAAGAAGAAGAAGAAGAAGAAGAAGAAGAAGAAGAAGAAGAAGAAGAAGAAGAAGAGGGATAATTGAGAAGAGGAAAAAGAAGACGAAGAAGAAGAAGAATTAGAGGGAGAAGAGCAAATGGGGAGGAAAGGGAAAAAGATGAAATAAGACACGAAATAGGAGAAGAAGAAGAAAAGAGAAGGTACACGAATTAAGGAGGAAAGAAGGAAGAGAAGAGAAATAGGAGAGGAAATAGAAAATTTATGAGAAGAGAAAGCACGAAAAAAGATGAAGAAGAAGAAGAAGTGTAAGAAACAGAAGAAGAAGAGGAATGGGACAAGTACAATAGAAGCGTTATTTAGGGGGGGGGGGGGTTCGACGACCATGCACGACAAAATGGATAACCACTCCCATGCATCTTGCCCAATTTATTTATCATTTCATTCCTTTACAGTATATTGCAAGGTTCGTTAACTGGACACCTGACGTCATCCCGAATATAGTTTTAACGAATCCTTTTGATCCTGTAAGTCAACAGATCTTTGTAAGCCAGTGGTTTGACAACTTACCTTGGATTGAGGAGCGTCACTGCATTACTATGATTGTGTTCAAAAGAACTTTCACAAAAGGGGCACAATCGATAACTTATGTAAGAGCAGCGATCGAGGAGATGGTCTTATTGACTATGTAACCTCACATTCAAGCGGAACAATCGTTACTTGCAGAACGTTGGGTCGATTTAGGAACACGTCGTCACAAATATCCTCTAGCTCATTTTGCTCACACGGGATCCTGATCATTGGTCGCGCTACGGTTGGCAGATAGATATATATCATATGAACATAATTTATCCCGCATTTAGTTATTAACACGACATCAGGTTGTGTTCACCGCTCGCACCAAATTCACCGAAAGTTTCATCATCATCATCATCCAGCTTTAGCAACAAACTTGCATCTCGGCAGATTTGGCATTTGAATTGGATTTGAATCGGTCTTATTGTAAAACAAGGTTCGTATTGTTCAATTTCGATACTTCATCTACTTTGCTCACTTGCTTGTGTTATAAGGAAATATGATATGACGAACATTTTTAATCAACGATGTTTAAGGGAATTCTTCGATCATTAACCCTTTTTTAATCAAACTTTGTTGATGATGTATGAATAAAAACAAAGTGTTGAAAAACGAGCTTCGTCATCTGAAAGTTCATTTACAGAAATCGCTAAAGCGTCGAGTCAATAACTATGGCGCCCTTCTTGTTTCGAATCAATACTTCTGCCGTTGTTGTTCTGCTTCCTATAGGCAACAAAATGGCCACCTGAACGAGATATCAGAGTCTATCTGCAAATAACCTTAATGGAGTTTAGTTGAACTCTGTCTGTTTTATCAAAAGTATCGGAAAATAGCTTGCTCCAGAAAATGTATACAAATAAAGAAAACAACTTGCTTACTATAATGTGCTCTCTCCCCCCACCCCCCGCTCAATCGCCGTTCGCCGATACACCGGCTGGCTGATTCGCCTCTAAATATTTTCTCAAGATTTGGGACCCCCCCCCCCCCTCTTGCCCCCGGCTGGATCCGCCCCTGAATGTAGGAAGTATGCGATGCTATTCTACATGATTATATCTTGCAGTGTTGAAGAAAAAAAAGAAGAGAATTTCGTAATTTAGAACCAATGAAATGGTTTAAAACTTAATTACTGTGAAAGAAACACAGGTGACAACAGAAAGCCGATATGTATTATGAGGTACCACAACCTAATATTGCTTGTTGTTTTTAAAAACGTATATATTTGTAAAACTCTTAAAAGATGTCTTGTGTCTCTGTAATGCATACACTCTGTTTAAATTTTAGCAATAAATTGCCCTCAATTTAACGTGAAAATAATAAAGAGCTTTTTTTTTCGTTCGAATTGGTTCTTACAAAAGGTGTATTCATGTTCGAAAACTAAAATCCAAACCACGTGCTTTCAATCGTGTATATGATTTCCATAGGGGTTATATCTCTTTTCAGTAAAGAGTTATAGCAACGTATTGATTTGATTTCCATAAAATCGACAGTTTTGTCCACATGTGTATTAACTGTATGCATATACGTGTATTAGTGAGGACGTGTTTAATGTGTTTACATTGAGTTTTAAATATAGCATAATCTCTAACCGCCTTGAATCTGGTGCCGAAAGATGGATAATTAAACTACCTTCAAGTTAGTGTGGGAAATAAAAATTTGAGCCGAATAGGTGTTTTTTGTAGATAATATCTTTTCCGTCTAATTTTGGCCAGTATCTCGGTATATTATTAATATTAACTGTGATGTTTCAGGAATGTGTGTATCTGCTGCTTGTCATAATCTTACCCATTACCTTGCCAATATTTTGAATTTCCTAAAAATTTTGACAAATTTAAGAGTTTCATGGCGCTCAACCCCTAAGACGCAATACACAGGCTCTCCCACTGCACCCTATCCGTATAAAGATAGAAGTAGTTTTGGAGAGAGTGGGAGTTTTTAAATAGTTTTTAACAAACACTGGACCTATAACTGTTTACGCAATTTCTTGCTGTTTGCTGCCTCGAGATCACTGGGGCGAAGAAATATAACCAGTGGCGGATCCAGGGGGCACAGGGGGCACGTGCGGTTGGCTGCATGAGTCGTTGCGATTTTTTTCGGGACTAAACAAAAATATATATATGTTCTCTTTCCCATTGTGTGCCTGCCCCCCCCCCTCCCCCCGGTAAGAAATTCCTGGATCCGCCCCTGATAACTATCCCTATTCAGTGAAGGCCCCCCCCCCCCTGGACCCGCCACTGGTTACAAGACCGAAAGGTTAAAATGATTCCCGCTATATAATAAATAATATTGTTCTTAATCTACCGAATCAGTGTGAACTGATAAAGTCTTGTACCAAGACTACATCATGTACCCACGTGTATTACGAATGTGCGTGTTCATTCAAGTACGACTCGACATATATGTAACGCACAGCTGACGCAGATATGCTTATGTAAGGCTGGTGATCCGACTCTGAAGTATTGTTAATGACCATTTTAGAACATAAACTGCTCACACTTACACATCTATTGATTATTTGAAGGACTGCACTTAACAATCGACTATTCCATGCACTTCTGCGCGAGCGCTTCATCGCCCTTTTGAACAAAGCTGAGTTGGAGTTGCAAGAACCCGGCCCGCCTTAATTTAATATCAAGTTCAGCTTCACTAGTTCAAGATCCAATGCCAGGTCAGTCATTGTGTTCAGATACCGGTGCGAACATGGCCAGTGATGTTGTTGGTCTAGGAAAGCATTCGACTTGTAGATGTAGATTTGGAAGTAAACATTCATTATCCAACACGGTCGATTCGCCTGGATGCACCATGCCCTCGCCGAAGTCATCGACATCACCTACGAAACGCCCCCGTATGCAAGTACATGTACAAGTAAGTAGTGGTTCACATCGCTGTCGCTTTGTCTTCGCAATATGATGGAGAAATTCCACTGAATAATGATTTGATGAGCTGCCCCAAGCGAGACGGTGGCTTGAGACAGCTGCAGCTGCGCTGGTACGTGTAGCTAGACAGAAAAGTCCGTCCGATTTGAGGGATGCTAACACGACTTTACTTTAGTTAAGACCAGGCCAGGGAGATGGAGGGATCAGATTGAGTCCCTAGACTTTTCTTTAGCAATTTTATAGTGGAGCTATCTTCAAAATAATTGAAAATACACTTATTTTTGACGTTTGCTTGTTTTGGTCTGTAGTCTACATTGTAGTACGTCTGGTCTGACCGACTGGCTGTTGATGGATTTAGCTTTGGTTGGCTTCTGGGAATCGGATTGTGATCGTAAAAATGTGGGTCAGATGTCCATGGTCAGATTGAATTGGTTCATGCTATCGTTATGGTCCCGATTGCATATGCTTGACCAGTCAGGGGGTTCCCCTGGCTTTGACAGTGAGGATGGGGCCTCCTTACAGTAACAGGCTGTGTTTTCTGATCTTCTTTAAATCTGCTAAGCTGTGATTGAGAAGGGATTTATGTTAATGATATACATTTGTTTAAATTTGTGTTCTGAAACTTCTTGTCATTTTTCTCCAATGGAGACATAACATATTAAAGGTCCAAGGACATGGCTAAAGTAAAGGCTCGTTCAGAAGCGGATCTAGAGGGGGGGTTGGGGGGTTGCAACCCCCCCAAAAAAAAATCCGGGGACCATTTTTTTAAATCTTATCTTTTTTTTTAAACTTGTAATTTTATTTTATTCTATTTCTATGTATTTATTTCATTTATTATTATTATTATTATTATTATTATTATTATTATTATTATTATTTCTTTTTGGGGGGAGGGGGGGGGGGTTGGGCGAACAAATGTCACAGAGTCCCTTGCCCCCCCCCCCCCCATCAGCTTTTTTGAGGACACGGGCCACCGCCGAAGTGACAAGCTAGGCCAGCGTTGCCGATTCTCATTCCCAAAATCCCCACATTAAAAAAAAAAAAAAAATTGGGGGATTGTTGAAGTCTTTAGGAATGAAAAATAAATATTTGGGAATGAAAATAATATTGAGTTTTATGAAAAACGAATTTGGGGATTTTCTGTCAAAATTTGGCAACTTTGGGGATATTTTAAGTGTCGTTTGGGTGGGGATTTTGTGAAGATTTAACCTGGCAACGCACGCTGAGCTGGGCTGCTCATTTCCTGGATTACTTGTTCAAGTTGCTCACTTTTTTATCAGTCTGGTCTGAGTGTAGTGACAAGCAATATGGAAGCAAACAGGGCAAAGAAGTTGCGGCAATCCAGTCTCGCATCTTTTTTTACTGGAAGGTATGTTTGAATCATGCAAAAAAGTTGGCATATAGGGTAAATTACTATACATGGGGGTGTAATACGGACGTGTTGTAATACTACAATTTGAGTAAATAAAACACATCCAGCGCCCACGCTTCGCGGGGAAACAGGCGCGGATCTACGGGGGGGGGGGGGTTTAGGGGGTTTAAACCCCTCCCTTGGGCGGCCCAAAAAACAAACCAAAACAAAAGGGGGGGGGGAAAGGAAAAAAAAAAGAAAAAAGAACGCACGCTGGAGAGAAACCCTTTCAAGTGCAAATATTGTGAGAAGATATTCAACTCATCTGGTAACTTAACCAAACACATGATAACTCTGGATATAACTGTGTACTGTTACTTGATTTAAAAAGACGTTATCATGCACTGCTTTTTATGGTCTCCATTGTGTTAATAGATGCCAGGAAAACATCACTTACGGGGTTCAAATAAACACCAAAAAAAAAATTGGTCAACCCCCCCCCCCCCCCCCCCCCCCCCCCCTTAGCAAAAAGCTAGATCCGCCCCTGTCGTTCCTATATATGAAAGGGGGCAGCTTTTGTTCATTTTATTGTAAGATATTAGCAAAACACACTTTATATTTCTGTATCTTATACTATAGTCGGTAAGCATATAATTATTCATGTATAGACTGAAAAATCTGTCTGCTTTGAGGAGTTTTCCAAAGCATATTTTGTCTTTTGACGCTCTCCAGGAGATTTAATTCGGTTAAAGTTGTCTCGGAGGGACATATCCCTGATCTTTTTTTAATAGTTTTTCCTAATACAGTACCTGTAGATTGACCCTAGGATCTATGTTGTATGCAGATGTCATCCTCGATTGCCATTCAATAATAGAGAAATACAAAAATAACAACACCGTCACAGTTTTCTGTGTCACGTATCAGAATCAGAAAAGGTGTATTGTTCCTTATATTGTCTGGCCTTCTATGTTGTTGGTTTCCAGTTACCACATAATGGAACAATTAGAGATGTCTGTAACTGGGTCATTGAGCAAAGAGGTGACAACTTTTTTTCAAGACAGCTAGGATTGATTTTTTAGGGCTAAATTATTCCTATATTCTTCAATTTTTTTAATTTTTTTTATCTTTTAAAACTTTTATTTATCAAGTAATTCGTACATACATCATGATAACAATAATCATAAAAATCACTGCACAATAATTACAAAAGGTAAGAACAGATGAAATACGTCCAACAATACAGAAATAGTGGATAACACTTTATTTTCTACAGTATATATCATAGGATTAAAATCAAAATACTTCTTCCACAGGGGACCATTTCTTATAGTGCGTCTTTAGTAGAATCAGTTGTAAAGAATGCAAATTCTCGTCTGAAATTTTTGTCCAGATATCAAAGTTGTATGGATTTAAAAGCAAGACGTACACTCTGTTTTGCTCTTATTCAATGTTTATTTGACTATGCTAACCCTGCATGGTATAGTAACATAAACAAGTCAGATCAAAAGAAGTTTAAGATTATACAGTATACGAATGATGCACAGGTTTGAGTGCATCGGTAGGAGATTTGTGCACAAGGTACCTTTGAATGGTTTGAACCCACGAGGCACAGCCGAGTGGGTTTTAGATCAAATTCAAAGGTACCGCGTGCACACAATTCCACCGACCCACGAATTAAACCTGTGCATCATCTGTTTCATAAAATGGGGCCCCCAAAATCGTAAAAAATACAAAAATCTGTTATTTTACAAATTTACCGGGTGCATGGCAAATCATGCTTTCCAGTAATTACCGGACGCATGATTTTTGTCATAGCCATGCTTTCCGGTAATTTCCCTGCAATCTGATTGGTCAATTACTGGGTTACCGGAAAGCATGATTTCATGAAACTTATCATGAATTTTTTTTTTTTTTTTTAAATTGTCAGTTTACATTAAACTGTTAACTCTATTTATTTTTTTTAATTAAAAATTAATAAATTAAAAAAAAAAAAATTATAGAAAAAAAAAAAAAAAATTAAAAAATTATTAGAATTATCAAAAAAGAACTATTTATCACAAACAAAATTATCCAAAAAAATTATTAAAGAAAAAGAAAAAAATTATTAAAGAAAAAAAAAATTATCAAAAAAAGTTATCAAAAAAAATTATGAGAATTTTCAAAAAACTATTGGGTGCATCCAGTAAAAATAACTTCACAGTAATTGACCATTTAGATTGCAGGGATTCTTCTACCCATCTTATAGAACAAAATGGTGAGATTTATCAACTGTTCTGGTCCAAGGCAAGAACTCATGTTGGCTACAGCGAACTTTCTAAAGCTGGTTTTCTTGAAGTCGACCAAAGATCAAAACAACTCGTATTGCATCACGTGCATAAAATATATCATACTAGGTCGAATCATTATATTCGATCCAACTTCGATCTTGTTACTGACGTACATGATTATAATACAAGAAATAGCCGATTCAACTTTAACTTACCAGAAAGAGTAGGTAGTATTGGAAATTCGTTTTATTACAATGCCATAAAACATTGGAATTCCTTTCCCAATGGTGTAAAAGAAATAGGAAACTATGATCATTTTAAGAGGAAATAAAAAGGAATACCTAATACTTGACAGTCAGAGAAGAGAAGTGAATGACATGTTATATGATTGAAATTTTTATTCTTCTGTCGGTTCATACTTTTTCATGTTGTATATACTTATGTTTTCATACGTTATAGAAATTCTACAAATTCATCATTATTTTCCTCTTCTTCCTTCTCCTCTTTTTCTTCTTCTCCTTCTTCTTTTTCTTCTTGTACTTAACATCATTTCTATCATCAGTTTACCGTTGTTATTATTATTATTATCTTTAATAAGTAGTTCTTTTAATTTTCTTATCTGTCTGTGAATATTACTATTTTAACTTATTAATTTTATACATGTCTGTAAGGGACCCCACTGGAAATAAGCTCTCAAGCTTTCGTGGGTTATCCTGTTCAAGCTGCCTTATTTTTTATCTGTTATTATTGTATATTGTTGTATGTTGGAAGCTTGTGGAATAAAAATCAATCAATCAATTCCTTCAATCTTCTTTTGTTTTGCAATGTCAAGTTCTATGTATTTTGTGTTACTGATAAAAGATATTAGCCCACTTAAACATGGTTTAGCGTTTTTGCATTTTTGGATATAAATATATCTTTTAAACATAAGCAACAAGTGATTCAATATATATATTCTTCAAATTACCAACAATAATATTTTCTTTCATTACTACGTTGTTAAAATGAAATGTTTCTGAAAACAATTTATAGACAATATATAAAAAATTCAAATTTGATCGAAAAACAATGATTTTTTAAATCGCTCAACAAGTTGCCTATACAAGGATTTTAAAGCTTGGTTTCCTATTTTAGATTCCTGGCATCAAGCACAATATAGCCGCAAAACAAAAATGGATGCAGTACGTTGTGCAGAAATTTTGTTCCCTTTGTATTCACTCAACTCATGCATCCGGCATATTTTTTAGGACTCTGGAAAAACTCTGAACTGCAAGTCATTGAGCGAACCCCACAAAATGTGGAATGATTCATTGATTGTCCTGAAACTGAAAAGGATAAAAGACTTTTATACATTATGTGGACCATCACCATTACTTGCCTCGGGCTTGCTTTATTAAAGATAAACTTGAGTACTGGTAATGCAATTGCATTGTGAAAGAAAAGGTGTGGAATGGATCAGAAAAGTTGATCATATAGCATGTAAGTAATGGTGTGTAATGCAAGGTTCTAGAGTCATCAAAATCATCATAAATTTGGCAGAGTCTTGGTAAAGTAACAATCACTTACACAGATAGATGTATATGGGACAACACACATGGTGTCGGGGCTAGTACTACCCTGATTTCCTTATCTTTCTATGCTCATTACTCAGCCAGTATACATTTTCTTCTAAAATTGTTTGGCACATGACATTTATTTGTAATCTTGAACATACAGTGTAAGTTTCGTTAGATTCTGTGAGAATTCATTTTCTTTTTTTACCAGAACTCAAGTTTATCTTTAAATAGCTGAACTGTTGTTGGGTTCTGATTTGTGTAGTCTACAAGCATAGACACAGTGTTTCAACAACAAAGAAATTGAGCCCTATTTAACTAATTATTAACCTGATGCTGGGTTTAGGGGCATTCCTTCGAAACTGGGAGGTCTAAGTTTTCAATTTGTGAAACGTGATTTAAGACCCAGGTTTAATTAGAACTGAATTAGTTGATTATGAACCATACATTAGCTATGAAGAGGATTAAATAAAACAATTCATTTACAAGAACCATGAAAAAACAAACACTGTAGAAATCTACTTTCCTGGTATGAATCAATCATTGTCCTCTCCACCCCTTGGGAGAAAAAGAGAATTATATATTTGTTTGTATTCACTGGATTCACATTTTGCCCTTTGATTGGCTCTTGGTTCCCCTTTGTTGAATGCATTATTAACAAAAACAGGGTTGGCATATTTTCCGCTTCGGAGGCTTCCCTTACCGAAAAGGCAGGCCTGCTTCTAGCCTGCATCAAGCCTGCATAGCTGCTAAAAAGCAGGCTAATTCCTTAGCAAGCACTGACCTGCAAAAACGCCGAAATATGCAAATTAGGCAGGCTTAATTTAGCCTGTACATTTTAAAATCAGGCTTATTTTAGCCTGCAAAATCATTTTAACCTGCTCAATTAGCCTGCAAAATTGCCCTGCTTTTTTAGTATGCAAATTAACCTGCTTTGTTAGCCTGCAAAAACGCTGAAATATGTAAGTTATGCAGGTTAATTTTAGCATGCTAATTTAAAATGCAGGCTAACAAAAATGAAAATATCTGATTGCCATCACTATCAGTACAAGACTTCTATTGGTATATCGACTCGGTAGAGGAACGAGGGATAAATTGATACATCATAATCAATATTTGCAAGTGTCCACCAATAGGAATATTCTAATCTCAATTGCATTTAGACCAACTCCATCACAAAGATCATTTGAAGTTAGTACAAGATTGACTTTTGTGAAAGTACAGGCTCATACACCTATATATAAAAATCATACATGCTATTTCTAATTGGTTAGTAATCGTATAATCAATATATCTATTGCTAAAACGTGAATGTAAGTGTGATCAGACAAATAATCTATTGGTCAATAATTTCCAAAGAAAAATACAATCACAAAATTGATATGTGCATTAATTGTCATAATTTGCTTAACAATTAATCATGATAAATGTATTTTTCTGTGAGACGTGTAAAGTAATAATGAATATTCATGAGATACGTATTGCAGGTTAATTTTAGCATGCTAATCGAAAAGGCAGGCTAACATAAATGAAGGTTTCTATTGGTTTCTATTGGTCCCATTGGGTTCAATTAGTCTTATTGGTTTATATTGGTCCTATTGTTCCTATTGGTAGATCTATTGGTCTTATTGGTTTCAATTGGACCAATTGGCCCCATTAGATATTTCAAATGGTTTCAATTGGACCAATTGACCCCATTAGACTTAAATGGGACTTCAATTGGACCAATCAGCCCCATAGACTGTAAGGTTTTCAATTGGTTTCAAATATATCTTTTCTTCATATAAGTTGCAATTTAATCCAATTAAGATATTTATGAAACACAAGACTATATCAATGTTATAACTATGACCTAAAAGCATTGCTCTCTCTTTAGGCTCCATCATATTTCTTCCTTTATTTAACTTAGTCTTATGTATTATTCTGTTCGTTTGTATAAATGCATCCCCCCAAAAAAATGATTACCAAAAATGTAACATGCCATATGTAATGAAATAAACATGTGAAATATGAAAATAAACTGAAATTGAAACTGAATTGGACCAATTGAAACCAATTGAGTTCCCATTAAAGTCTAATGGGGCCTAGGCCAATTGGTCCAATAGGGCCAATCTGGACCAATTTGGACCAATTGAAACCAACTGAAGTCCTATTAAAGTCCCAATGAGACCAATTAAAACCAACTGAAAAAATGAAAATTAAATTCAATTAAATTTTTGTCTTGGGATGCCTCCCCAAGCGCTCGAAACCTCGCTTGCTCGGCTTTCTATGAACCTATTTTTGTTTAAACTCTTGAATCACCCCTGATATATAACATTAAACGTGCATGTGAAAAATAACCTGCAGGCTACATGTAAAAAGCAATAACAGGTTAAATTTGTGTTCTAAACCTGCTCAGAGGACATTTCTTCAGACTGCAGGTTTAACAAATTATGATAGAAATTTACATGCTAAAGATTAAACTGCATCTCATCTGGCATGCTAAAGATTTAACCTGCTAAAACTGTATTTTGCAAAAGGCATGCTAATTTTAAACTGCAGGCTGAGATTTAGCCTGCTTAAACTGTAAGACTGTGTTTTGCAAAATGCATGCTAATAACAGGCTAAAATTTAACCTGCTAAAACATGTAAGACTGATTTTGCAAAATACAGGCTAAAATTTAACATGCAATAGAATAATTAGCATGTATTTAAGATTGCAGGCCAGACGCAGGTTCAAAGCAGGTTAAATAAGCCTGCGTTTTCGGTAAGGGTTATTTCCCGGACGCCGGGAAATATGCGGTATTTACCGGTATTTACCGCTTTTTACTTTACTTTTTAGCCTTGATGAATGCTGAATCAGCCATTTTTCAAACTCTGCCAAAGAAACTGTTAGTCCAGTTGAAAGAGAAGAAGAAGAAGAAAGGAACTATATGTCATTTTGTGTAATGTTATGTAGATTGACATACAGTTATTTTTATCTCTCTCATTTAAATGTCAAGAAAGATAGATCTTCAAGTTCTGTTAGTCCCATTGAAAGATAAGGAAAAGAAGGGAAAAAAGAAGAACTGTGCTGCCTTTTATGTTATGTAAATTGACAAACATTTAAACAAAAATGGTACGGTCTATCTTTGCCAAACAACAGCAAGTCAACATATGATACCTTGTTAAAAGCAGCAAGTGAGAGTTTTCTGTTGCATATTTGAAGTACACCTGTACATGTACATGCATGTACCTGCAAACACCAATACAACGTAGCTTGAACAAATACATCTTAGCAGTGAAGTGTCAATAAAGAAGATAAACATGGAGATTAATTCTGGTACCATATATCTAAAGATCTATATTTGTACCAAACAACAGCAAGTCAACACATGGATACCTTGTTAAAAGCAGCAAATGAAAGTTTTTCTGATGCATATTTGAAGTACATGTACATGTACCTGCAAACACCGGTACAATGCAGTAGCTTGTTAAAAGCAGCGAGCAAGAGTACTTGTACAGGTCTGCAAACACTTAGCATGAACAAATATATTTAAGCAGTGAAGTGTCAATGCAGGAGATTAACTTATTCTTTGTATAACAAATGAAGAACCCTGGGCCAGGATTGTGAATAATTAGTAACTTAATTATATCATTTTAGTCTTCTGCTCTTGCAGTTTTGAAAGAAACCTAAATTCCTCACGAGCAGCATGCAACAATGATATCTAAAGAACTACATGTATGAAACCATAAAATTCTTTTAATCCCCACCTCTTTGACAAATTACAGACATTGTACTGTGGTTGCTGGGAAGTCGATGCACTTGGTTCATTTGGCAAAATATTTGCACTATTCATCCAAAATAATAGAATTCACTTTGTTATGTAATAGTAGAGATTTTAAAACTTTAATGTTGGTACAGGAGGCTGGTCCCCCTAATTTACCAAATACAACATAAAACATAAAAGCGCACCAAATTGACCAGAGCTGATGTACAATTACACATAAAACCTTCTTAAGCCTAGTTGTCGACTAGTTACATATATGTACTGTAGCCATTATAGGAGACCAAACAAAAAAAGGGTATGGGGTACGGGGTCCCCCAAAATGAATAATAATAATAATCTTTTCAGTTATTTCCCCCTAAGTACAACGACATCCCATTGAAACGGAACTTCAATGGGACTTTAGTGTGTACTTATGACAGTTTCATGAAACATTGCCTTGATTATCAATGTCTGAACATTTTTGACAAGACATGTTAACGAGCAAACGATAGTCATTTTTGTTTTCTTCTATTTTTCTATTTCAGAATCACACCATGAACGGACATTCTGAGATCATGGCAGGATCTAACAACAATGTTGGTGAGGTACTAAAGGTGATGGTGACTGGAGGTGCTGGCTACCTTGGGACTACCATTGTACCTATGCTCCTGAACCGTGGCCATCAAGTCAAGATCTACGATCGTCTCAGCTGGGGTGTACAGTCTATCCTACCTATCGTAGGGTCTCCCAATCTCACCGTTGTCCGCGGAGACATCAGAGACAAGGACAAACTAGCCAGAGAGATGCAGGACTGCAACGCTGTCATCCATCTGGCCGCCATTGTTGGCTACCCTGCCTGCGAGAAGGATCCTGAGGAAGCCAGGCAGATCAACGAAGAAGGCACAGCTAACATCGTCAATAACCTTCGACCGGACCAGCGGCTCATCTATGCTTCCACAGGCTCGTGCTACGGAGCAGTCAACGGCACTTGCACAGAGGAAACCCCCATCAGTCCACTCACCCTCTACGGAAGCACCAAGGCCAAGGGAGAAGAGCTGACCCGATCAGTGGGCGGCGTCGGACTCCGACTGGCGACCGTGTTTGGCATATCTCCAAGGTTACGCCTTGACCTCCTAATCAACGACCTGACCCACAAGGCTGTCACTGTGAAGCACTTTGACCTCTATCAGGGTAGCTTCAGAAGGACCTTCCTGCACGTTAAGGATGCTGCTAGGGCATTCCTCATTGCTATTGACAACTACAAGACCATGAGCGGCCAGGCGTACAACGTCGGCCACGAATCTATGAACATGACCAAGAGGGATGTCGCTGATACCATCCAAGATCTTGTCCCGGAGTGCAAGATCACCACTTCCAACAGCGGAGAGGACAAGGACAAGCGTGACTACGAGGTGTCATACGCAAAGCTACGCGAGCTTGGATTCAAGCCCACTGTCTCCGTCCAAGACGGTGTCAAGGAACTGCTCAAAGTAGTTCCCCACATGACCGAGAACGAAGTGCGGATCGCACGCAATGTGTAAGGAGTGTGTGTGTGAAAAAAGTGCAAATATCAAGCTATCACTTTATTCAGAAAAGCAGGGTCCATGTCTCTCGATCTATAAATCACTGGATATGAAAGAGACATTGTTATGTTTAAAATCACAATATTTTCAATGATTATTACAACAATTGTATAACAATAACAATCATGAAATAATATTATAGGTCCATATAGATTTCCAAGTCATGTTATAGACTTGTTGGTGTTTGCAAATGACCTACATATGCAGCGGTAGAGTAGAGAGAGATAATATTATATTAACAATTTATATGATCATTTTGAACAATGTCCATTTTCTTTTTTTGCAAAGTGTAGAATGAAATACAAGAGAACATAGTCATATGCCTAGCCTGTTCATATACTTACAGCTGTATTCCTAGCCCTTTAGAGTGCTTTTAAATTGATCCATATGTTAGATACATGTCTTCAGCTGTTCAGATACATTTCTCTTCAGCTGTTCAGATACAACATTTCTCTTTTCTTGTGGACTGGAAATGAATGTGATACAAAGCAAAAGGGGGGGGGGGAGGGTGATAAGCCCCTAAAATGTTTCAACAGCTGTAGGATATGACAAGGACAAGAAAAAGATAAACTATTCTCATTACTTTCAAGTAACTTCATGCTTAATGGTGCTGTTCAATATTGCATTTATTCTAAGTATGATTCTAAGTCATTCCGTTTTCTGGAAGTACTAGTAATTAATACAAGCTGAAAAGGGATGGAAATGTGAACTACAGTATAGGAAAGAGTTGTCTGCTGAAGCATGTAACAATACTTGCATAATTTACATCCTATTCATGATCTAAACAATCATACATGTATGTACCATCATATTTTATAATTCTTGATTCAGATAAGGATATGACTAATATGTTTTTGTGCAATGGTTGTCTGTAAGCTGTCATGATTAGAAAGTCTCTCACTGCAACACCAGCATATGATATAGCAGTACAGGTATCACGAAAAATGCTGGTAAAATATGACTGTCTTCACCAAATTTAATACATTCTAATGTATTTTTCAATGCATTGTCTTATCTTTACTTATAAACGTTGAGAGTCAGGTCATTTGGTTGTAATTGATATTGCTAAGTTCAAGTGAAAGTACTTGTCTACCGATCATTCTTTTTAGACAACATTCTCAAGAAGCTTGTATTATGTATGCACATTGTTCAAAGCAACCTGTTACTAGTATTAAACGATTGGAACTTTAATGAAATGCAAAACCTTCAGAAAAGTTCCAGGAAATGCTGTATTATACATCTTGTTTTAACAAAACCTGACACCTTCTAAGCTATCAGAATTGTATTGCAATTGTAAAGAATGGGGAGTATGTTTGAAAAAATTGTTTGAAAGTAGCATCTACTTTTACCTTTGATGGATGCAGCATTTTTTTAACCATCATGATCTGGAAATTTTAATCAATGTGGAGACTAGAACTGTCCTATCAAAAAAAAAAACAGAACTGGTCATATAATTAATTGCTACAGGTGGCATCTGCTTTTATGTGTGCTTTGTTTCTATTAAAAAAATGCATATTTATTTTATGAAATATGGTACGCAATCTAGCCTGAACAAATACATGGAAATATGAAATGGTGTACGGTATCTCATTTCTTACACATAAAATCTACGCTTGCACATTGTGGTCTTTATAGAGTTACACAGACATTGCATTTGTTGAAGTAATGAATGAAAATAAACTATAAAGATGCTGATTGTGCCTTCAACAGTAAGGTCTAATTGCACCCTGAACATTGTATATAGTGCACGGAGAACAACCACCATCACTTCACCAACAGCACATCACCAACAGCACGCAACACAGCACAACCCTCTCCAGGACAGCGTTCACGCTTTTGGGAGAGTAATTCTTCAAGGTTCAAGGTTCAAGTTTCACTTGTCAGATACATGTAGGTGGCAGCAACAACTTCTAATCAGTTTATGATGATGATAATAATAGTAATAATAATTATAACAATAGTGGAGTTTTTTATAGCACTCATGTCTGGCACATTGTCACTCATGGTGCTACATTACTTTTTCCCTGGCTTTAGCAAGGCTGCCATTACAGCGCTCAACCATTCCTGCCAGGATCCATTTACTTCACCTGGGTGGAGTTTGGCAATTCTAGATTAAAGTCTTGCCTAAGAATATAAGTCCTGCGACAGGGATTCATGATTGAAGGAGGACTTGATTTTGGACAATCTTTTGCATAATTTTGCATAATTTTGCAGCCCCTTTGTACTTTTTTGTACGGCAGAAAACATGTCATAAGTAGTTTTGTTTGGAATGTTTTTTTGTTTAATACTTGAAATATTGTGAACAGTGGTTCGAACATTCAAAAGACTAGAGACTGAATAGAGGCTGAAGTAGTCTTAGTTGTGTATACATTTTAAATGTATTCTTGTATCCATGTTGGTTCATGTGGTGAGGCATGGGTTAGAAATTCAGAGGTTTGAAAAGACTATTTAATGAGATTAATACTTAAAGATATTTATGCTCAAAACTGTTGGTGATGAATACTTGATTGGTAGAATACACCTTGATTTTGTGCTGTTCACATATTTATTATTCAATACATGCGTGCATATGGATGCAAGTAACTGTATACTTGCAAACTAGTAACTTATTTCTTAAAAATTTTGTTAGCCTATTTTTTTTTAAATTTACACTTTAACATTCTTGTTTTTATTGTAAACATGCTGTAGAGGATATATATACTTTTTTTTTTTTTATTTACAGTTGACGTGATCGCTCCTTGTGTTTAATTATACGTTTTCCTTGAAAGTAAGCTAATCATGTTTTATGATGGTTTTAGTACTTCCGGTAGGTCCTATGTGTACTCACGACATGTCTCGTTTTTAGGTAGTTCAATGAAAATAAAGAAGAAAGTAAATCTTAAGAAAATAGTAATGACTGACTTTGAATTTCTTTTGCCCTGTTCATGGACTCGATCTTAAATAATGATGATGTTGATGATACTGACAATTACGATGATCATGGATTTGATGATAATGGTGATAATAATAAAAATAGTGATGATGATGATAATATTAATAATAATGATGAGGATGATGAGGATGAGATGATGATGATGATGATGATGATGATGATGATGATGAGGATGATGATGATGATGATGATGATGATGAGGATGATGAGATGATGATGATGATGATGATGATGATGAGATGATGATGATGATGAGGATGAGATGATGATGAGGATGAGATGATGATGATGAGGATGAGATGATGATGATGATGAGGATGAGATGATGATGATGATGATGATGATGATGATGATGATGAGATGATGATGATGAGGATGATGATGAGGATGATGATGATGAGGATGAGATGATGATGATGAGATGATGATGATGATGATGATGATGATGATGATGATGATGAGATGATGATGATGAGGATGAGATGATGATGATGATGAGGATGAGATGATGATGATGATGATGATGATGATGATGATGATGATGATGATGATGATGAGGATGAGATGATGATGATGATGAGGATGAGATGATGATGATGATGATGATGATGATGATGATGATGATGATGATGATGATGAGGATGAGATGATGATGATGATGAGGATGAGATGATGATGATGATGATGATGATGATGATGATGATGATGATGAGGATGAGATGATGATGATGATGAGGATGAGATGATGATGATGATGATGAGGATGATGATGATGATGATGAGGATGAGATGATGATGATGATGATGATGATGATGATGATGATGAGATGATGATGATGATGAGGATGAGGATGAGATGATGATGATGATGAGGATGAGATGATGATGATGATGATGATGATGATGATGATGATGATGATGATGAGGATGAGATGATGATGATGATGATGATGATGATGATGAGATGATGATGATGATGATGATGATGATGAGATGATGATGATGATGATGATGATGATGAGATGATGATGAGGATGATGATGATGAGATGATGATGGTGATGAGATGATGATGATGAGGATGATGATGATGAGGATGAGATGATGATGATGATGAGGATGATGATGATGAGGATGAGATGATGATGATGATGATGAGATGATGATGATGAGGATGATGATGATGAGATGATGATGATAAGGATGAGATGATGATGACGAGATGATGATGATGATGATTTGATTTGGTGTTTATTGTTGAATTTCTTTCTTCTTCCTTTTTTAATTTTTTTTTACTCGGAAATAATTATGTCTGGAAAAAGCCATGCATAATTATGATGTAGACCATGATATTTTGTATTATGCCCTTTTCTCGTCCGATAGTGAATTACCCAGAATTTTTATTTGGGTATATTACATAATGAAAGGAGAAAATGTGGATATAACACTGTTAAAACAGTTTGACAACCAGGCAGATCATTTTTTGTATGAATTTTGCCTGTGTGAAACGCAAAATTTTTCACCGTTCAAATGCAACTATATTCATAGAATCAAGCTGTACAATTTCATTGGTATTCATGCATGTAATAGGTTTTAGCTTGTTGTTCGGGGACCTTTCAGCAATACCTGAATATATGTCATGGAGAATAGACAGGGGATCTTAGTTTTTAATGATTTGAACATACTTTCCTCATATCCGATAAAATGAGTATTTAACACAATTTTGGTATAGGAAGAGAAAATGTTATGTTCAGAGGATGTTCTGATTTTGATACGTTTTCATTTTTCACTTATTGTAGTACCCCTACAGTAAAAGAGGGAGGAGTATGAATTAAATTTGTCAGAAGTAAATCCTTCTTTATATATCTACTTTTTAATTTGTTTATTGTTGAATTTTTGTTTTACTCGAAAATATGTCGGTAGAAAAGCCATGCATAAGATGTACATGATGATGTTTCGTATTATGCCCTCTGCTCGTAAATTACCCACTATTTTTGTTAGATATATAACATAATCAAGGCAGAGAATGTGAATATAACACTGTAACGTAGTTCGAAAACCAGACAGATTATTCCTTGGGTAGAATAAATGTCATGTTCAGAGGATGTTTTGATTTAGATACGTTTTTAACTTTTTCACTTATTGTAGTACTCCTAAAAAAGGAAGGATTATGAATCAAAGTTGTCAGAAGTAAATTTTCATTATATTTCCAGTCTTTGATTAATTTGTTGTTTATTTTTGAATTTTCTTATGTTTAAAGAAAAAAGACTGAGGTATTCATTTTTGGGAAAGAAACTTCTGAGGATTCTAAAAGTTATATTTTTGACTTGCAAGACAGCAACATTACACTCATTTTAGTTCATTGGCAGTGGAGAGTAGTACTTTTAGTTTAGTTCTGGATGGAGGATTTCAACGCTAAAGAATGTATTCAGATATACACTGTATATCTCATAAGAAACCATGCGCATACCTTCAACAGGTGTCTTCCTTTATAAATTTCAATAAGCCTTTGTAGAAATGTACTTGCTTGAACTCTTGAACTTAGGATGTTGCACCATCTATCTCTATCTCTCTTTCTGTTACACTCCCTGCTATGTAAATTAATGTAAATCGTTGCTCTCGTATTTCAAAGGGTCTTGAGAGGATTTATTTTGGCCACAATGCTGTTGCCCGTGGCTTGTCTGGCGTGTCGTTATTCGACCTTTGTGTTTGATGTTTGTGTTTTTGTATGTTTGTTAGTTGTATTTATATTGAAAAAATCTTCCACAGGTAGTTCGTCGTCTGTTCGCCTCGGTACTCTCGTCTGATGCAGGGTGACATTACTTTTATTTCAATGAATTGTCACGGCCTAGCAAATGATAAGAAAAGAGAAGATGTTTTGTTATATTTGAAATCTAAACAATATGATGTATGTTGTATTCAAGACACTCATTTCACTCCTGACATAGAAACAGAAATATGTCGCAAATGGGGAGGCAAGTGTTTTTTCTCTTATCATACATCCAGCTCTAGAGGAGTAGCAATTTTGTTTAAGGATACTATTCCGGTCAAAGTTAATCAAAGTAGAATAGACAATGGTGGAAACTTAGTAGTTTTAGATTTGACATTATATGAGTACGACATTACACTGGCGTCTTTGTATGGCCCGAACACTGATAATCCATTTTTTTATACTGATTTACAACGTATCATAACAGAGATCGAAATTCCACATGTTGTTATTAATTTTGTGGAGACTGGAATTTAGTGCAGGACCAGACCCTTGATACTCATAATTATGTTCATGTAAATAATCCTAGGGCGAGACAGCAGGTTAAAAATATGAAGGACGAATTAGATCTATGTGACCCATGGAGAATTAGATATCCTGTGAAAAAATATTACACGTGGCGCCAGCCGAACCCTTTTAAACAAAGTAGATTAGACTTCTTTTTTATATCATCAGAATTACTATCATTAGTTCATAAATCTGATATTTTATCTGGTTATCGAACAGATCACTCATTAGTTCGTCTTAGCTTGACTTTAAATAAAATTAAACGGGGTCCGGGAATTTGGAAATTTAATAATTCTCTATTAAAAGATGAAAATTTTGTGTCAAAAATTATAAAAACTATAAAAGAGACAATTAAATTTTATGCAAAAGATGAGGTAGAGTTTAATGAAAATGATAACATAGTTGGAAATTGTGAATTTTCTATCAATGACCAATTATTTTTTGAAACATTGATAATGCTATTGCGGGGTGAATCTATATCCTATGGCTCGTTCATTAAGAAACAAAACATCAGTCGGGAAAAGGAACTGGAAAGAAATATCGAAGTACTGGAACAAAGACTAGTGACATCGAATGATAAGACCGCATTACTAAAAGAATTAAGTGACAAAAAGTCACAACTTGAAACCTATCGCCTAAAAGTAAATGATGGAATTATCATGAGATCTAGAATCAAATGGATGGAGCTAGGAGAAAGGTCATCAAAATATTTTTTAAACTTGGAAAAACAGAATAAAGTAAATAAAGAAATACGGCAATTGTCAACAGAAAATGGAGATGTTATTAGTGGACAAGATGGTATATCAGGCTCGGTGTAAAAATGTCAGAGGTAAAAATGTCAGAGGAAAAAATGTCAGAGGTAAAAATGTCAGAGGTAAAAATGTCAGAGGAAAAAATGTCAGAGGTAAAAATGTCAGAGGTAAAAATGTCAGAGGAAAAAATGTCAGAGGTAAAAATGTCAGAGGTAAAAATGTCAGAGGTAAAAATGTCAGAGGAAAAAATGTCAGAGGTAAAAATGTCAGAGGTAAAAATGTCAGAGGTAAAAATGTCAGAGGTAAAAATGTCAGAGGTAAAAATGTCAGAGGTAAAAATGTCAGAGGTAAAAATGTCAGAGGTAAAAATGTCAGAGGTAAAAATGTCAGAGGTAAAAATGTCAGAGGTAAAAATGTCAGAGGTATAAATGTCAGAGGTATAAAATAAAAACAAAATCATGTGGCAAGTTTGTTATGGTTACACCCGGGCCATATATTAGGCTTATCGAAAAAGAACAGCGAGGGATATTCTGCAGTCGTTATTTCACCGCTGCTTTATTTTCTACTTTCCCAGTTAAAATTTATTTACCTTTCGGTCCCAAATTGTGACTTTTTGCCCGATTATTGCCGAAGGAAGACGAGGGGGGGGGGGGGGGTATTCTTCTTCTGGGGCACGGTGACCCGGCTGCTCTCCCCTTCCTCTTATATTATGCTTTGCTATATATCCTTCTGAACAGTGGTCAATGCCTAGGCAGAGCAGGCAGACTAATGGGACATGGTTTCTGTTCCGAGTTTCGCGCCTTGCAAGCAATCATCAGGCAATTATTGATAGCATTCTTAAAAGTACATGATTATCTTATACAACCTTGGTACAAATACCCCTAAAATAAGACTTAACTAATAAAATACAATTAGAATTACTCATCA